TCGGCTCGCTCTGCACTGGCCGAAGGAGTGGCGAGGGCTGGTGCGGCGTTGCCCCCTGACGCGCCGCATCAGCATATGTAGCGCCATAAAATGGCGACACTCTTCGTCTTGCTTCCTTGAATGTGATATTTTCTTTTATTTTCAATGTGATGATTTCCTTTTCTTTTTTCCAAAATGAGCAAGACCGTGAGTATGCGGCATGATTTCCACCACAGTTCACACAGTGTGATGGTTCTTCGCAATTGTCAGAATTGTGGCCTGACACTCCACATTGTGCACAAGTTTGGTGACCACGACAGCTTTGTGAGCCATGGCCATACTTCTGGCATTTAAAACAACGACGTGGGTTAGGTATGTATGGTCTGATCGACGTCTTTGTGTAGCCTGTTTGAATACTTTCTGGGAGATTACTGGAAGCGAACGTGAGTATTAGGTGTTTGGTTGGTGTTGCCTTGTTGTCTCTTCTAATGGTGATCCTTTGTACATTGGTCACATTCTGACTCTTCCACCCCTCCAGAAGTTCCTCTTCAGTCAAGCTGAGCAAATCAGCATCAGATACTACTCCACGGGTTGTGTTCATGGATCTGTGTGGCGTTACAGTGATGGGAGTGTCACCAAAAGTTGAAAGATTCTGTAGCTTTTCGAACTGTTCTTTTCCTCGGACTTCAAGGAGGAGGTCTCCGCTGGCCATTTGGTAACTTTGTACCCGGCTCCAAGAGTTTCTGTGAGACATCTGGCTACTACAAAGGGTGATACGGTTCTGGCTTGCTTGCTGCTTATTTCACTATGTATAACATGAAAATGGGGGAAGTTTTCACTTGATCGGTTGAAAAAGCCTAAGTCTTCGGTGCGTACACGCTTTAAGGCGGTACGATCACTTAATAGGGGAAATGCTTTATGCATGCCAGTTTAATTTTCTTCAGAAGCGTTGGCGGCCACCCACCACGGAGCCCAACAAGGGGACGCTACAAGTTTGTGGATGCTAAAACCTGCAGACGCCAGCCGTACAACGCAACTATAACCCAATGCGCCTAGACCAAGGTAGGCTATTTGCACAGGGTTAACCCTCGCCGCCAGGAAGTTTGGAAGTAAGCAGAAGAGAGTAGAAGACAGGACAGATAAACAGTAAGAGATAAAGACGAAGATGTAGGGAGAGAGAGATAGGAAAAGGCGACTGCCGATTTCCCCTGGGTGGGTCAGCCCAGGGGTGCCGTCTACGTGAAGCCGGGGCCAAAGAGGTGTGTTGCCTCTGCTGGGGGGCCTTAAAGGTCCAATCACCCAGCGTCAGCTCAACCCCCAGGATCCCCTTTTCCCCGGGCACGGCAAAGCCACGCACGGCTAGGCGTGGGAGGGAGTAGAAACTCCCCCGTTAGCTCGGGTCCGTGGTGTCGCTGCACACCAAACGCCTACTTGCGCAGGCGCCCCTGCGGGGGTAAGTGACACGTGTACACATGATAATCATGACAAGAAAGTTATGCACGGCATCATTTAAGCCCGTTTCATAGCGTTGTGTTGATCTTAAGGTGTCATAACAACCTTCCTCATTCGTGCTTCACATATCATTGACGGGCAACATACGTGGGATCTGCCAATCTTTTTTGTTTTTCATCCCTTGTTTGCACTGTTAGCCTAACTCATTTTTTGAGACAAGTACCCAGCAGGCCATTTTTTTTGTCACTTGTACAGCTGGAAATACACCTGGCGCACACCTCAAGCAGAAAGCACGCACGAAAGTGCGTGCTTCTGCTTGAGGTGTGCAATGCACACAATATTGCATATAATATTCACAATGCATATAATATTGCGTGGCAGGATCACAGAATTGCATTAGGTGTCAAAACATGGTATAATTCTGCAACAATTGTGTAGCTTAAAACCAACTGTCCACCATTTTAAAATGGGCCATGGTGCGCGTGGCACCTTACGGACGCGTAGTGAGTAGTTTGTCGATTTGCGAAAGGAAGAATTATGGCGTTGTGCAAATAATAGACATTCTAGGATAGCCTGAAATGGTGAACGTCACGTGCTTAAAATTTTCTCTCCATGAGGTTGAAGGCGATGAACAACGGGTTCTAAAGCGCCTTCGTCCAAATTTCGTGGCATATGCACCCTTACACTAGCGGGAATGTCGTGAAACACTTCTTAATCTCGGAGGCCTTCGTTCGGGTAACACCAGTTGTCGCAGCCCCAAACAAAACCTTGCCAAAACAGCAGAGGCCAGCACAGGAAAATGTAAACTGTAGATTACGCTATCACATTCTACTTTTGCATGTGAAGCTCAAGCGTGCTCCAAGTTTTGTTTTTCACCGCGAGTACAAAGCTTTCATATGACTCAGATACATTCACTTTCAGCAAGGATGAGTGTGTTGCCGCCTGATTAGTACTCTTTCCTTCCCAGCAAGACGCCCTACATTCAAACCCCACGAAGGACTTTTATTTCGTTTTGTACATTTTATTTCTTTGGAGATGGTGAGCATCGCTTGTGACAGATGCACTGGCAGATGAACGTACCGGGAACAGCGCCAAACGCACGCAGTTCCCGGTTCTTCCGCCTGCGCAAAGTATACTTCATGAGTAAATCTGAGTGAGCTCCACATATTTGTACCGACCTATCGAGATAACTACTTCAGCATTATTATCGGCCTTTTGTCGGCTCGCGTTTATAATCTTGTCTATACTCACCCATACTTCAACCTACTCGCTTTCGTACGCCAACTCAGTATTTATTGATCAGATAAGTGTATAACGGGCGTAATTTATCTCCGAGTGAGGTACCTTGACCTTCCCCACTAAACCTGTTCACGGTAATTCTTAACAATATCTCGGGGGATACCTCTTCCTATAAAAATGGCCCTTACAGATTGCAACCACTGATAACTCTTATTAGGACGTACGAGATGAAAAGGTGCCTACTGGAGCACCGATTGTGCGAGATGCTGCTGTTAAAGACTGTTTAGGACTTGACCTAAAAAGTTCAATATATTAAAGCTAAGGAATAAGTCGACTCACTCAAACTGACTCAGACTCAAATACAGTCATGAGTCTAAGTAAGTCAGAGTAAGTAATGTTATGGTGAGTTTGAGTCAGAGTGAGCTCGATTGAAAAAAAAAAATGTATACTCATTCTGAGTACGAGTGATTCCGCGTGAGGAGAATTAGCATATAACCTATGCGTATAACAATATATTCCAGCTAAATTCACAGATAAGGCTTAAAATAATGCTGAAGCACCACAAAAGTATTGCATCGGGCATGCAGGCCATTTTTCATACTTTTTGTATTTGCATAGTTAATCCACTCCAGATGAATTAAGTTACTCTGTAAGTACTAATAGTGTTCTAGGAAACGTCTAATACGGGAATATCGAACGTGTTATTTATTATGCAACCATTATTGTGCTGGCCTAAAACATTTCGTGAAGTATTGATAAAGATGAAATTACATGACATGTCTCGTTGTACGCCGAGGTTTGCATGCTCTCAAACATACCGCGTATGATGCAACAGCACATTTAGCCTGGCGGGCCTCTACTTATGACCGGACCGGACAGCTTTATACTGACTATATGCAGCTCTTTCGCTAACGATCACTGCTCTGAATTGCGCACTCAACAACTGCCCTGCTGCCCCGATACTTTTTAAAGCGGCATCACACTTAAGGTTAAATGCGCCGTTCGTTCATACGTGGCCCGTTTGAGAGCGCCGTAATTACGGCACTTAAAGTGGTGATGGCTCTTTTTTTTTTCCTATGTTGTGCAAGCTTTCTTAAAGACGCTGAAAAATAAAGCATTACTTGTCAAGTAGGAAGCCAACAAGTGCTGTTTTAAGTGCTTGCTATAACGCTCAGCAAATTCCACGTATAAAGTCTTGTCTCAAATTTAGCACTTCTAATGCAGCTTAATTAACCTTGCACTCCTTATGCAGTTAAGCAAATTAAAAATCTTTGCGGAAGAGTTACTCGACAATAAAGTTGTGTAAAACTTTTTAAAAAAGTGGCGTTGTGTCGCATGTTTCTTTGTGTGTGTTACGATACCGCAGGCCTAGGCAGAAGTGGAATGCGGAACAATTATTAGCTCGTGTTAGGCTTCACCAGATGAAAAGAATGTCATTAGCCCAGCCGAAAAGGCTGTGAGTATGCACGTCCTCCCTCAAGAAAGTTCTATTTATGCTTTATGGAGCGCAGGCTCTCAGGGCCTTGTACACAAGTGTCTGCTAAGGCAGCAGTGCAATGTGTTACAATCGTCATATTTCACTGTATTCTAGACTCTCATCGCGTATTTTTAGCTTTCTTGGCCCCCGCCACTATAGGCACTGAAATATATTTGCTACATGTATATTTTACTCACACAACAGCGTCTGCTTTAGGGCCCTTTACAGACAAGATATGTTTCAATTGTAGGAACGATTATGCCATTGTCGCACCTGGAGTGGCCTTTTTGAGCCCTTTTTGGTTATTGCATTGTATGCATAAAACACCACACTGCTTAACAAAAAAAAAAGGATGTGACTTGTTGCATACGAAATGAAACAATGTGCATTTAGTCGTGTTCCAGAATACTTCAGCATTATGTCTAGGCTTGGCTGTTCAGACTGCTGGGATGTCCTTATGAAAAACCTCCCCCCTGTCACTCTGAAAGTTGTGCAGCACCCTGCAAAAAAAGCAGCGTGGCGTATCATCTTGAAAGTACTTACAAGATCACCTACAATGCTTGCGTTCCATCTAATATCAAATATTTGCTGCAAGCTCTGTTTTGTGCATGGATAGAAGCAGAATTTGAGTAATCTGTTGCCGTATATGCATAGCTGTCGCTGCACTGTAACGGAGAACGTCTGAAAGCATGGGCACGTCCAAGAAATATGTTGTATGAATCTGCCTCCATCACTAAACGGAATCGGGTTTGACGTGTCCATAAAATGTATTTCTGCTCTCTGAAATGCATCTTTGTTATATGTGTCTCGAATCCTATGCGACTATAGCATCTCAACTCATCTTCACATACAGGAAATGAAATATTAAACTGCGAGACAGAAGGCTACAGTTGTCAGGCGAGGGACGTATGCAAGAATTGGATGTTCAGGGCGTTTTTATTCGGCTGCAAGGACGACAAAGTGTGCTGCGAGATGAGTAAGTTCCGCACTTTCTCAATGACACAGCTATGAATGAACTTTTCGAGCGACATGTTTGTGATCCGTTCTTTTCCATAGCAAAGGTCTGGTGTGTCACAAAGTTTGAACTTCGCAGGGTACAAAAAAAAAGGCGGTTCTCACTGCTACTCGCACCTGCAGAGCTTTGTTCAATAATTTGACAGTTAATTATCTGCAGCGTATACATATGTACTATGCGCAACCGATCCCGTCAAATTGAGCAGCTTTCTTCTCCTCTCAAGCATGAGCAGCGTGAAAGCTTGTGGCCGAGACAAACACCGCATCGAAATAATGGTGCATGCATTGTTATATTTCCGTAATTTATTTCACTTGACAAAAGTGAGCTACTGTTAATTTCTTGTACCCTTGAATTTCCTTTCTAATTGCCAAGTAACTGTCGCGCAGAGAATCTCGAGAGCACGTCTTGAAATCCAAGTCACAGCTGCTAAATTTCGATTGGTGCGAAATGCAAGAACAACCACGTAGAGATCCTGCGTGCTGTGCTAAGGAGGCCCAAGTAATCAAAATTATTCCGGAATGTCAAACTTTGTACATGATGCGCCTCGCAATCACATTGTAGTTCTGGCACGTTCATTTCCAGAATGTGATTTCTTTCTGTTTTGATAAGATGCATCAAGCATTCAATTCTTAGTTTGTCAGATGCCAACGGGCGAACCCGTCCGAAGAGAAGAGAGATATTCGACTGACGCATTCGTGTCTTCTTCCACAGCTATAGGTACTACCTGCCTGTCAGACTACGGATTCCCTGGAAGGTGTGTGGCCAACGACAGCTCAGAATACTGCAAAACAAGGGTTCCCAGTGCAGACTGCTCTCTTAGTCAACTTTGCTGCCGAACGGAGTAGCAGCGCTAATCAGTTGTCATTCGCCGACACGATGAAAGGATGGTTACGTGGCACACAGCGAGCAACACAGTCAACTGTTTTTTTTTCCTCAGTTACAATAAGCAGAGCGGACACAGATCAACCGAAATAAGGGGCCTCGGTGCCCTCATTCTCCAAGCAGCAATGCGGTATTGTAACTCAGTGAATGCGTAATTACTCACACATTCTTCAATACCATGAGCACCACTTTCCCAAACGCTTGGTCTTACCCAATGCAGCGTCTTGCAATAACCAGCTGGCGCCAGTCTGGGCAAGAGACAGTATTGCGCAAAACCAAGTCTACAAGGATACCGTTCATCGGGGCGCTGAAGAATGTTATCATGACGCTTATGCAAGGGTCTTACTTTTGCAACACCAATCAATGAGGAATAAAATGAAACCTCTTTCAAACTCAACACCGAAAAAAATTTCTCCCCTTTCTCATTTGGTGAAACTCCTCCAGGAAAAAAAGAAAGAAAGAAAGAAAGAAAGAAATGAAACAACTGTTATATTGCATAATATTTTAACTTGTCTAAGTTTGCTATTATGTGTACATTTGTTTTTTTTCCTATTGTTCATTCTTGAGTACCGTTAGGTATTATTCTTTTATTTATTTTTTCGCTGCAGAGCTTATTGATATGTAGTAGCCGAGGCAATATAGACCTGTACCTCTCCACAGCAAAACACAGCAGAAAGAAAGAAAGAAAGAAAGAAAGAAAGAAAGAAAGAAAGAAAGAAAGAAAGAAAGAAAGAAAGAAAGAAAGAAAGAAAGAAAGAAAGAAAGAAAGAAAGAAAGAAAGAAGGAAAGAAATTTATAACATTAAAGACGCAATCATTTCTACGCTGACTGAACCAGAACACTATAGACGTCCATCCCTACCACTGTCGCTTCAGACGAATCTCTGTAAAAAAAGTGAATGTATAAAAGACAACTGATTCACCTGTGGGGTTGGGGGTTTTAAACCTAGTGTTTCAACCTATGCAGAGCGTCTTATTCACTAAGAAAAGCAACCAAGCTTGCAGAGTTTGAATGCATCTGAACCATATCAATGCCTGCTAATGGCAGTCCGAAACGAATGCGAAAGGAGAGCACTTTCTATAAAACCCGCCCCGGTGAACTAGCGGTTACATTGCTTGACGGCTCATCCAAAGGTCATGGGATTGAATCCCGGCCGGGCCAGCTGCATTTTCGATGGAGGCGAGAATGCATGAGGTCCGTGTACTCAGATTTAGGTGCACGACTAAGAACCCCAGGGAGTCTCAATTTTCAAGGTTATGAGGGACCAAGGTGTCCCTCATAACCACATAGTGGTTTGGGACGTCGAACTGAAGGCTTCGTGTAAATATTTCATCGTCGTGAAACAAAATCCTTCTTTAGCACAACATGCTATGGAGCATTCTACGCATCAGAAAATAATAATGGGCTCTTAGGCATCGCCTTTAGTAGCTTAACGCGATAAAAATGGCCGCACGCACGCACATACAAACACTCCCAATCGCTATAGGCTGCCTTCTATTCTCAGTGGAGAACTAAAGTGGACCTCGATGAACACCCAAGTACTAGCTTCCCCCAGCGCCCTTCTTTCTTTGCATATATCTCGAATTTTCGTTCATGACTAACGCTGATTTTTCGCTGACGATCAAAGAAGCCGCTGCCGATGCCACCGGCACCGACACGAGAATTTTTGCGCAACGAATTCTTTCGTGCTATCACGTTCAAACTCAAGAAACTTTATTGCCAAACACGTTTCGGTGCTCGCTGGACGCTTCTTTTGTGGGACCGTTCTAGAAGCTCACGAAGATTACGAAAGCCACCGTGTCGCTTCCACCCGACACCATTCCAGGGGACGCCGCAGCCAGTTTTCCTGCAAGAAAATGTATGCTTACTGATCACTTTGAAAATGCACGCCGAAAACTCTTTTAGGTGTTTAACTATAAATTTTGAGAAAAGATTACTTTATCCAGTTCATTAGCTGGGTGAATGTTTTTTTTTTTTTTTGTAGCATTCATTGAACATGATGTCCGCATGAGCATGTAATTGATAATCTGAGACTTAGAGTAAATTTCATTTTCGTTTTTGGCCTTTTAATATATTTAGTAAGCGAATGCTTCGTGCAAGTAGTTTGGCGGATAAAAGAATATGCCTTAGTTGGCCTGGTTTTCTAACGCATTGGCCTCACTATTGCTGCTTTGCTCTGCGGTCAAAGCTGACATTTTTTATGGGCGAAGCAGATTTGGGTCTTGGACTGTCGACGTTACATATCCATGTGTCATGTCGTCTCCACGGACCATGGAAAATGGGCGTGATAGTTAGATAAATCCCACCACTCGCCACCTGTCCATATTATATATGATTGTTATGAGCCAAATGCTCCTCGTTACTGCCTATAAATCATTCTGCTTGGCTTAGCAGTGGTGCGACAATCCCCGAAAAAAAATTACCAAGACACTCAAGTTTGTTATCTAAAACCAGAGACACAAACGTGGTTCCCTACGCTAAAGTTATCTGTTTGAAACGACTTCTTCAAACCTATCTGCAAAGTGGCGGTGCTTTATTCACTACCGATCCACTAAAAAGGAAGAAGGCATCAGTGAGACCAGCCGACGCTGTTAGTAAAGTCGAAACACCCATTCCTACATGGGGAACTGAAAACGGGCATGCATGGAAGAAGACGAAGAAGAAGAAGCGCCTTAGAGTAAGTTGCACTCCAACGCAGTTTTCTGGTGACGTCAGAGGAGTAGAAACACCCTTCCCTGGATGCCCGGTTCCAGGCTTGGTACCGCTACTGCCTCATCAAAAAAATCTCTCTCAAAACAGTGTGTCCAATTGCCCCGGTTGGACCCTTCTTTGTCTCATTGCCTGTTAGCAGCGGTTTTGCTGTGGGGAAACTCCATCGCACACTGCATGCTTCGCCCCTACCCAGGTTCCACTTTAGTGGAGCTGAACACCCTTCCACATGCTTCAGCCCTCTCCAATTTTTTTTGTTGTTGTTGTTTCAAGTTTACCTCAATTACCACGCATTGTTACCGCAATAAACTGTGAAATCGTAGATTGGCCCCGTTCCGACGAAGACGTGGCTGTGGCACGTCGGATATTATTGGTGGGGGACCTCAGCAGCAACCCCTAATCGGCGGTCGTGCAGGCGCCGTAGTATACGGGACCAACAAGCATCGGACGCGCCGTCGAATCACGGCGCGCTACCACTGACGGAGAAAGCTTCGGATTTTGTTGGCCCCTCTGCCCAGCTGCAACCGCGGTAGTCTGAGAGCTGCTCGCTGCTTGTGCTGCTGCTCCCGACTCGCCTTAGAACACTAAAGCGCTGCGTAACTGTCTCCTGGAGTTCGTGTCTCTTTTGCCTGGAGCCGCCTTCTCCGCAAATGCAAAAGCTCATATGTTAAGGAGCCTGGGAGTTTTTTTTTGTTTTTTTAGAAATAACAGCACGAATTTCAATTCGATGACGTGAAAAAACTTGTAGCACACTCGCTTTTTTTGCGTATGAATGAATTAATGAATGAATGTGCGTATAGAGTAAATTAAATAACCTCCGCGACTCACGAGAAGCTGCAGAATTCCGTTGCTTGGTGACGGAGCCTCAAGTTTAGAATTCCGGTCTGTTCTACAGACTTGAATTCTAAAGTTATGTTTTTACAAACGACATGTACTGTGCAGTTTCACATCATCGAATACAGTCTTAACTTCCTCAGAAATTCTACATTTTCTCAGATCTACTTGTCTCTAGCTTGCGCAGCCGACTGTATGTACGACAGGTGACTTCAACGTAAATATTCAAGAAAAGTCTCAGAACGGTTTGGTGTATGGCCAGCAAGTACTTGTTGCTTCAAAGAAAAACAACTGAACTAGAGCTTCAGCACTCCTGTAGTGCGATTGTCTTATTAGGGACCAGCCGCGCTGGTGTAGTGGCTAAGGCACTCGGCTGCTGAACCGAAGGTCGCGGGATCAAATCCCGGCTGCGGCGGCTGCATTTTCGAAAGAGGCGAAAATGCTGTAGGCCCATGTGTTCAGATTTTGGTGCACGTTAAAGAACCCCAGGTGGTCGAAATTTCTGGAGCCCCCACTACGAGGTCTCTCATAATCATATCGTGGTTTTAGGACGTTAAACCCCACATATCAATCAATCAGCGGTTGTCTTATTTCGTACCCTCTTCACATCGTTTTACAGTGAAAGCTGTTATGAGATCAGAACACGGGTCACGCGCGGCGCCATAGTTGACCGCTGCCGCCTCTGCCGGTGTCCGTAACCAGTATCGAACGAAAAAAAAAAACTCAGTAAATAAAGACCACCAATGATTCAATGGGATGGGAACCCGGGTCTGCTGCGTGCCAGGCCAGTATTCTACCACTGAGCCACACCTGGCTTAAACTGGTCTTAGACAAGCTTGATGTCTGGAAAGGAATCACGTTGATATGAGTAATAAAGCGTCCTATAGAACATCAAGGGAACAGCCAGGCGTCACACAATGCAAATTGCGTAATGAGTGGGTCGTCTAATACTCCAACCCACTAAGAAACTTGCTCTTGATCCCCTATTAACTGTGGCACATACCCACTTCAGGAATATTTTTTAATCGTCGTTAGCCACTGCATAAAAAAAATTTCACAAAGTTCCTAACAAGTGTAGCTAATACCACTCTTCTCAAAAGAATGACGAAGGATAGCATAGTGAATGCTGTCCTACTACACAAAATGTATGATTATTTTTGGCATATTGGATACCCAGCAGTGTACTTGTAGCAGTTACCCAAAGAGTGTTTAGAAAAGGCTCTGAAAGGCCGCTCTTGTAGCTTTCGCTGTGACTGTGCTACGCGTTCCACGCTGACCTGGAGGGGTTTTTTTTAATAGTGTTGAATAATGTTCACTGATTGTCTATGTCGACGTATAGGTCAGGACAGAATTTTTGTCTTACGGAAACCACAAGGATTAAGGGTAAGATGGAGGCTTGAAGCGGCGAGAAACGTTCTATACTTATAATATGTCGCGGGAGCCAACGTTTTGACAAGTCTCCCTGTCGAAAAGCCGGTTCAGTGACATTTATTGTCCGACAACTCCACGATAAGGGACTCACTTACTTTACGAACTTAACATAATATTAATACGCGTGTGACACTAGATCTGTTGTATTGCTTTGTTGGCGACATATTTGCACCACGTCCTTATCCCTTTAATAAAACGTTGAGGCAATAAAGAACCTAATTAAGCAGTTGAAGGAGCTTCAACTAACTGGATGACAGTGGTTTAGATGGAAACGTTGTAGACCATCACTATATATGGCACACTCGATTACTGCTCATATCCGAGAAGGACGCGTAATTTGTCATATTACTCATCTATTCGAGGCCCCGATACCGAAAGCGAGCTTGCACGCAGGAAAGGTGGCCGCTGCCTTACGACAGACCAGAACA